GTGGGGGCATTGGCAGGAGGTATGGAGGGAAAGGGAGATGACATTTGATAGCCAGAATAGCTGTGTCTGTCAAGAACTAAAAAAAACAAAAAACAAAAAAAACAAAAAAAAAAAACCCAGAAAAGAAAGGAGGAAGAGACAACCTCATTCCATTTGCCGGGCATGCTGACTAAGGCTTCCTCACTATACCCAGCAGGCTCTGGGTCTGAAATCCGGGCGACAGGCACTGTGCACCTGAAGCCCTGATGATGTAGCCCATCAGAGTGCCGCTTGCCATCGGCCTACTGGGACCTTCCTGGAACCTCAGCTTGAATCCGATGCAAAGGAAGCCACATCCCAGCTGTTTGGGGCAGGAGGCCAGGGGGCCAGAGGAGTGAGAAGGAAGCTTAATGCAGAAGTAAGCAGGGAGCTCGCTGGCAGGGAAGAGAAGCAGAATCATCAGATTCAACTCATGATTTCAGAAAGCCTCGGCGAGGGGAGGCCAGGGAAGGGCTTGGCGTTGCTTCTCTGTGTACAAATATTGTCTCTTATTTTCCGGGCTGCAGGGTGAGGCAGAATGGAGTGTTTGTGCAACAGAGCCCAGCTTTGTTCTCTGTGCTCCTAATGACTGTCAGCTCGGAGGCAGGAAGCCAATCAGAGAGGACCGTCGGCAAGGCTGGCTTTTGTTGGCTCCCCAAATTGCCCTGAGTCTCAGATTTGCTTTTCAGAGTGTGCATGGAGTGCAACTCAGCTGTTTTCAGCTGGAGGCAAAGGCTGGAGCTGGTGACAAAGAAGGCCTGGCTTTCCTGACTTGGGTAGACATTTACTCCCAGGTTGTCTGCTGCAGACTCTGCTCTCCCACCTGGAAAATGGGTTTATGCTCCAACTCCTCCAGCCTCTGTAAGGCCCCTTGGTTTTGTGGAGCTTCCAAAATGCTGAGGCTAACTCTAGAGCCAAAGAGGAGACTGAAAGCAGTTACGTTTCCAAGGGAGAAAGCTGGGAGGAAGACAGCAGCTAACCAAGGGCCAAGTTCACCAACAGTGGACTTCAGTATTCTCAGGTGACACTGGCAGTGTCTGGAGGTCACTTTTAGTTGTTGTAAGTTTTAATTGCTATAACTGGGGAGGTGAGGGTGCTACTGGTATCTAGTGGGAAGCTAGGGATGCTGCTCAACATCCAGTGCACAGGACGCCCCGTCCCCCCCAACCCCCGCATCCCCACTCCCAGAGAATGATCCGGCCCAGATGCAGTGTTGAGGTTGGGAAACTCAGCTCCAGAATAAGCAATGCCTTATGCTTTCTCCCTCGAACATTTCTCTAAACCTAAACCTTCTCAGGGTCTGCCAGCTCCATGTTTCAAGGCTGTTGGGCCAGGGGTGCTTCTGCAGGTCCAACAGGGGACAGGGGACATTCTCATTCACCAACTGATCAGCGGATCAAGCCCTAATATGAACTAAACAGGACAGACGTTCCCCAAGTAAACTCCACCCAGTGGGCCTCTCCGGTGATCCTGTTGACCACAGGAGAGTGCCCAGGATACAGGGAGGCGTTTGCCTAGACAAGGCCTCTGGTTACCTTTTCACTTTCCTGATCATGCCCTGTGATGCACAAACATTTTAAGTTTTGACAAAGTCCAATTTACTGATTTTTTTTCTTTTGTTCATGCTTTTGTTATCATAGTTGACCACCGTATTTTATTTTTATTTTTTTAGTTAATCCTCATCTGAGGATATGTTTTTCATTTATCTTTTTAGAGAGAAAGAATGTGTGTAGAAGGGAGAAAGGGAGAGAGGGAGACAGAGAGAAACATTGATGTGAGAGAGACACATGGGTTAGTTGCCTCCTGCACAAGCCCCCACAGGCTGGGAATCTATCGAACCTGCAATCCAGGTATGTGTCCTTGACTAGGAATCAAACCTGAGACCTTTTGGTCCAAGGACCGATGCTCTAACCACTGAGAAACACTAGCCAGGGCTGATCACCGTGTTTTAAATTGCAACCCAGATTTGTGACCTTTCTTGCTTTTTTCTTCCTGTAGCATTCACTATCTTCTAATGTATTGTATAATATGGTTTTCTCTTGTGCTTGCTTCTCCTCGCTTCTCTGTCTTACTCTCCAGTGTCCCCAAGTGCCCATAATAGGGCCTGGCACATAGTAGGTGCTGAATTCCATATTTGTCCAATAAATGTTAGCGGTGAGTTGGAGGAAGAATATCCACATTTTCCTTAAAAATTCATCTGCCTGGTTTTTAGGGCAGAGGGATTACTCTGCACAAGACTATAATGGTGGATGCATGTCATTATACCTTTGTCCAAACCCGTGAACTGTTCGGCACCAAAAGTGAACCTCAGCATCCACCATGGACTTGGAGTTACTATGATATGTCCGTGTAGGTTCATCAGTTGTAACAGATGTACCACTTTGGGGAGGGGGGTGGAGGTGGATATGATAGTGGGAGAGGCTGTGCCTGTGGGGGAGCAGGGGGTTGTGGGAAATCTCCGTACCTTCTGCTCAAGTTTACTGTGCACCTAAATGGCTGGAAAAGCTTTTCCTTAATTCTCCGGTACTCCCTTTGAATACATGATTTTAGCCACCATCATAGCAAACTGCATCGTCCTCGCTCTGGAGCAACACCTACCTGACGATGACAAGACCCCCATGTCCGAACGGCTGGTGAGTGATGCCTCTCCTTTGCTTTTGTGGCAAACTGATGGGGGGGGGGAGCAGAGGATTGTGGACCCCCTGCCTGGGGAAGCATACATATCATGAACACCAATAATCTAGGAAGAGAGATCATCGCCTACCCTTGCCCCTGACAAGACCCAGTGTCAACCCGGTGGGCTGGGTGAGAGTGGTCACACATTGTTCATGAAAATGTCATATTCAAACACAAATTCTTGTGAAAAATTTGGTCCATACACCAAAATACAGAGAACACTGAAATGAGCACACCGTGTCCCCCCCCACCCCCCGCCATGAACCCATCATCCAGATTCAACAGTTGTCAAGATTTTTGCTTCATTTGTATTTTCTGTCCTTTTTATTTTATTTCGTGGTTTGTCTTGACCAACGTTTCTTAAGGCAAATCCCAGACAACATGTCAATTTGTGGTCAGATAGCATTGCTAAAGATACGGGTGTTTCTTGCATCACCCCAGTTTTATATTCACGCCCAACACAAGTGACAGCGGTTCCTTGGGGTCATCTAAGACCCAGTCAGTAATCACATTACTGTGATTGTCTCAGAAATGGCATTTCACAATTGATTTGTTTGAACCAGCATCCAAGCATGGTCTAGATTTTGTTATGTCACTTAAGACTTTTAATTTAGAGTAATACATTTTCTCCTGTCATTGCCTTATTGCAGAAACCAGTCGAGATGCCCTAAGGAGTGTCCCACATTCTGATTTTTGCCTGGTGGCTTATTTATGATGTCATTTAGCTGTTTTTCCATCCCCTGTGTTTCCTATACAAGGATGTCCGCTCTGAAGGACATTCGAAGTCCTCATTCAAAGTTGCTCATTTGGTGAAACTCGGGCAGAGCTGAAAACTAGCATTAAGATCCTTCTTGACCCACCCCCATGCCCCCAACTCCTGTTCCCTTCCTGGCATTCTGACAATACAATGGAGGAGACTTCTCTCCTTTCTGTCACTTTTATTTTTATTTATTTATTTTTTTTAATTATTATTAAATTATTATCTGTGTACATATCTTACCATTGCCCCTCCTTTTAGAACCAGTTGAATTAGCTCCAGGGTAAAGAGGGGGTTGTAAAAATCCTAATGGTTCCTAATTCATAACAGTATGGATGATCTAGTTATGCATTCATTTTTTTAAATATATTTTTATTGATTTTGTACAGAGAGGAAGGGAGAGAAATAGAGAGTTAGAAACATCGATGAAAGAGAGTCATCGATCAGCTGCCTCCTGCACACCCCCCACCGGGGATATGCCCGCAACCAAGGTACATGCCCTTGACCGGAATCGAACCCGGGACCCTTCAGTCCCCAAGCCGACACTCTATCCATTGAGCCAAACCAGTTTTGGCATAGTTATGCATTCTAATGTGTATTCCAAAAAGATAGGACCATTCTAGCAAAATTACGATTTCAAGACCTCTTTTGTTTTTGCTAAGTAAAGAGAGGCGATTGAGAGCATAGTAAGCAAATAGTAGTGCCATGGCGAACTGATAGACAAAAAAAATGAAGGCAGAATGCAAATGATTGACGCTTGGGACACGTTATCCTAACAGATGGGAAAATGTCTATGTAGGGACTCGGACAGAGAGGAGCTAATAGCTTCATTTCAACTATAGACCATCAGCTGGAAACCAGAGCTGGCGAGAGGTCCAGCGAGAGGTTGGGGGGGAGGATGGGGGAGCAGGCAGAGGCACTGGCCGTTTGCCAGCAAGTGCAGAAATATTATTCCAATATTTTAGCAACCTGAACATCTGTGCTGGTGCAGACCATCTGAGAGCCATCAGAAATGTCAGATTTGGGGGGAGGTCGGTGCACAGGGTCCAACCCCAAAGGCCTTGGGTGATGTGTGTGACAAGTAAGTAGGCTAAGCCAGCGCTTTCTAGTAGGATTTTCCGTGGTGATGGAAGAATTCTCCATCTGCACTTTCTAACATGGAAACCACTGGCAAGGTAGCTAGTGTGACTGTGAATCGGAACCTTTCCTTTGATTCCATTCAAATTCATTTAAATTTATTTAAATGTAAGCAGCACATGTAACCAGTGGCTGCTGTGTTAGAGGCAGCGCGGGTCCAAACAGTTCTGCATGGCCAAGTGGTATGTGATGTTGACCCAGAGGAAAGAGGGAGGGTGTCTTTCCCCCTTGTGTCTGTTTCTCTTGCAAAAGCCTCCAGGCAGGAGAACTCCAGGAAGGATGTGGTTGGGGCTGGGAGCCAGGAGTGTTGCATGATGGGAGGTGGTGGGTACAGATCTCCAGGTGGGCTGGCTCCCTGACCGTGCCACTCATTGCCTAGCAAAGACCTGACGTTACCCCCTCTCCCTTCCAGGATGACACGGAACCATACTTCATTGGAATTTTTTGTTTCGAGGCTGGCATTAAGATCATCGCCCTCGGGTTTGCCTTCCACAAAGGCTCTTACTTGAGGAACGGTTGGAACGTGATGGACTTCGTGGTGGTGCTAACAGGGTAAGCACAGTGCATGGTGTTTCTCAGAATTAAGAATTTGCATTCCAAGGACGTTGGGAATGGAGCAGCCGGTGTGGTCCAGGCCAGGTTCCGAGGAGGCCGAGTCTCTGTCCTTCTGCCTCCTTTCACCCCGCCTCTAGATCTCAGCTGCGTATGACAGCGGATGCTTTCTGTTACAATTAGAATAATAGCTTATTAGAGTCAACCGCTTCCAAAGTGCTTTATGTGCATCCTCTCGTTTAATCCCCACAACAACCCAATGAATTAGGAAATATTAATATTCCCATGTGACCGCTGGGGAATCGGAAGCACACAGAGAGGAACTTGTCTGAGATCACCCAGCTAGCAAGTGATGGAACTGGGATTTGAAGCTGAGATGATGGGATCGCAGAAGTCATGTGTTTAACTCTGGTGTCTGTGTGGTCCTTTGGCTTTGCTTGGAGATGTCTTGCCCCTGATTTAAATTGGTTCATGTTTGTCGAGGGCTTTGGGGTGCAGAGATGGTGGTAGGACTCTGGAGAGGACCCGTCTCGACAAGGTGCAGTCACTGCCTTCGGGAAGTTTTCAGATCTGTACACAAGGAACTATAGTTGGGAGGTGGATGTGTGTACACTGTCCATCAAGGACCCTCTATAACAAAAAATCCAAAACTAGGTAATGACAAACACAACCAACGTTGGCTTCTCTATCATTTTAAGTTCAAAATGGTCGTTCCTCATTGGCAGGCTTCTCTCCTCCGAACAGTGGTGGAGGGGCTGGGTCTAATAATGATTCCACATATTAACCAACCCCTTCCAAGAACTCTGTGCTTATCTGCATCAAACCACAGAAGAGAAATGAGCACGGAAGGTGATACTTGGGAGGTTTATGAGCCCGGCTAGGATCTGGCACACATTCCAGTCATATGCCATCGCTGCAAGGGAAGCTGGGAAATTTGAGACTGTGCATAGAGAGGAAGGCAGAAGGCAAACAGATCTGGTGAAAGGCCAGCCACTCTCTGTCCCAGACCTCAAAGCCCTTTATCCGATCCCAGTAAGGACATCACCATTGTGTGGATTTCTGCCTCCTCTGCTCACCTACTCTCCTCCCTCAAGCTAAGCCTGGCTCTTCTCTCCCAAGACCCCTCTTTGGTGGGAGGCCTTCCTTATAGCTCTCCTCTGTGGGGTCCCAGTCCTCTGTGGGTCCGTATTTCTCTTCTTGGCTCTGTTGCTGCGCTAGGTCCTGTCCCTCTTGGCAGATGCCATGGGTCTTAGCACTCATACTGTGTTGGCTGGGCTCTCGCTATTCACGTTTGGAGACCATATGTTGCTCAGAGCAGTGCTGTTCTTCACAGGAGGAGCTCTGTCATACGGGGCTGCTTCAGTAGAGGCGGTCAGTGGTGAGAAGTCTGTTGTGAGGACTCTGGGATAGTTGTAGCAAGTGGGGTTTCCTAGGGGACCGCTGTTGGCTGTGCCCACAGTCCTATGGCTTGAGACCTTAGCAGGTTCCAGGGACATGTCATGGCATGGGGCATTTTCCTCATAGCTCGCTAGAAAGCTCATCTGCGAAATAGCCCCATGGCTGACTTCGTTATTGTTTGTTAAGAAATGTATAATAAAAATGATCAGACATTTAAAAAAAAGAGTAGACAATAGAACAAATATCTGTATATGCAAATATTCATTCAATGGATATTTAGTGGGTACCTACTATGCACCAGGCTCTGGGACACAGCGGTGAACAAAATAGACAGATGTCTCTCCTCTTGTGGAACTGATATTCTAGTGTTGAAGGAAGACAAAATGAATGACTGAATGAAATATCTAGTGTGTGGATGCTGGTAAAGGCTACAGAGATATAATAAATTAGGGTAGGAGTGGGATGTATTATGGGCAGGAGGGCTAGAAGCCAGGAACGATTTCATTGGGAGGGTGATATTTTAATGAAAATCTGAAGGAGGTGAGTGAATGAGCCCCGAGGATTGCTGAAGGAGGAAAGTGCCAGGCAAAGGTGCAAAGTAGGTGCAAAGGCCCTGAGGCCGGACTGTGTTTGATGAACAATGGAGGCCAGGGTGGGCTGGAGCAGAGTGATGGAGGGAGAGTAGAGGAGATTCGGGTGGGGAGGCGATGGAGCAACCTGCCATCAAAATGAACCTTTCTAATACAGTTTAAGTCCCTGTGCTCCTTTTTCTGGCCCCATTCCTTTCTCTTTCCCATCTGAAGGCAGTTTCCTGAATTTTGCTTATTTCCATTTATGCATTTACAGTTTGATTATATAAATATATAAGAATACATACATATGGTACTGTTTTTGCGTGCTCTACATTTCTCTATAAATGTTTTCTTCTACAACCTGCCTCTTGCACTTAGCATGAGATTAATCCGATTGACAAGATAAATCAATATTTATCTAGTATTCTGCGGTATGAACATTCTACCAGGTATTTATCCACTGGGGTTATTTCCAGCTTTGGGCTATTTTGAACCAAGCTGTCCCCTCATTCCTGCGAGTGGATTTCTCTGGAGCATATACCCAGGAGTGGAACTGCTGAGTCGTGTACCATACACATGCTCAGCTTCACTAGATATTGCCAAATTGCTCTGCAAAGTGGTTGTGCCAATTTATGTTCCCAGGGGGATGGCTTTTGCTGGCAGGGGCTGGCTTGACCTTGCTGGCAGGAAGGAGCCTTAAAAAACCCTGTGTTTTTTTTTGCCCTGGTCAGGTGGCTCAGTCAGTTGGAGCATCATCCCGTACACCACAAAGGTTGTGGGTTCAATTCCCAGCCAAGGCACATACATAGATTGTGGATTTGATCTCTGGTTGGAGCACACACGGGAGGCAACCAATTGATGCTTCTCTCACACATCGATGTTTTTCTTTCTCTCTCTCCACCTTTTCTTTCTCTCCCTCCCCTTTAAAAATCAAGAAACATATCCTCGGGTGATGATTTTAAGAAATACACCCTGGTGTTTTTTTAAATAGCATGAAACACCTAGGGAAGCTCATATACTATTGAACATAGAATAAGTCTCACTAAGTGATCAGTACCATTTGATGGGGCAGTTTGCCAGTTGGATGCTTGTATCTGCTCCTTGATTACAACAAGGTGGTCTTTTTTCTAATTTTATGACATCTGATGAGCCTCCAGAGGAGAAATTATTCATCTGAGGTAGATAGATTCTGAGGAGAGAAGCTCATAGGGCTATCCATGAGTCCTTTAAAATTGCATGCAAATTTTTCTGACTTTTCGTTTTCATTAGATTCTCAGGGGGTCCTGGTCTTAAAAACCACAAGGTTTCTATTCACCATATTCATCATTGTTGTAGGTTTCTATTCCTTTCTCCTTCTATTCTCCTTTCCTGCTTTCTTTTTCCTGAATTTTTTTTCTCTTGCTTTTTGTTGCTTTTATTTCTCCAGTGATCAACCACCCTTCCTTATTGCCTGGTGGTTTTATCTCCTTCAGATTCAGGCGCAGAGCTCACATTTCATTACTTCAGATTTCAAGGGGGTACTTAGTCTCCTGCTGGGTTATAAGCTAGGAACAGGGAGATGAGACTAAAAGCGTTGCAAACCTGGCCTTCTGCTCAGCATCACTGGTGGGGAAATGTAAACTCTGAACTCCATGTTCCTGGGGGAAGGGACTTGAGTGTATGAATTTGACATGGAGACAAAGATGATTTTTATGAGCACTTTCCGATGAACTCATTGTCTTCTCAAAACACCATTTTTTTTCATGGATTACCAAGGTTTTTCTTCTTGAGTAAAGATTGGTGGGAAAGATCTTACCCATAGATTTCTCTTGTTTGTTCTGTATAGCTCAAGGCTTCAGAGAAAGTCCAACTGTAATTTAATCAAATTCCTTTAAAGTGAACTTCCATTGTATTTGAAGGTCTGGATCAAACTGAAAATGTGTAAGAGGAATATTTCAGATTCTTGGCCATATTTTTGAGATAACAGAGCTTTTACTGCAGTGCTCAGATACATATATAAACACCTGAGGGGTAAAATAATACAATTGTGCAAGTTGAGAAAAGAGCCTGAACATTGCCAGGGTAGGGATGAAGACAGTTGTTTTTGTATTCTCGGGCGTAGCAGCATACATGCTTGGTAGAATAAATGGTTGCTAAGCTGCAAAGTGGTAATACTTCTGACCATCAGAGTGTCTTGGGAAACTCACTAAGCTGTTTAAGGAGATGGGGACCATTGCACTGACAAGAGATAGTCCAACATTCCACTATGTCAGAAAAAAAATAAGCGAAAGAGACTTCCAGAAATGGGAGGTTGACAGAGCCCAGTAGTTAAGACCTGGGCTTGCTTCAAAGTCAGAGGGATCGCTGCCAGTGGTAAACTTAAACATGTCAGCTAATCTCTTTAAATCACGGTTTTCTCACATGGAACAAGAGGAATGATGATAGTGTCCATCTCCTTAGGCTGTGGTAGGGACCAGAGAGGCAGTATATGTGGCAGTCGCTAGGAGTGCTTCCTACATGGAAGTTGGCCATCTGAAGAGGAAATTAAAACACATTCCTTTGGAGGCGTATGGTTGGTGCTGCAGGTACTCCCTTCCATATTCACCCAGCTCACGTAGCTGTGGTTTGTAGTTTTCGGGCAAGCTGACCTCTTTGCACCTCCGACGCTCTCATCTTTGTACATTGCCCTTGGAGGGTCTTCTACAGTATGTCAGCTGCTTGTTCAGACCACATGGCAGATGTGGAACACCCCCAGGAACAGTCCTTAACCAAAGAGCAAGGGAGTCAGTGTACAAATACCCTGGGCTCCCCATTGCTCAGTAGGAAACTCAGAGGTGCATTCTACAAGTTCTCAAAGGGTCCTCTGCATGGTAGAATCCCAGGTGCTCACAGTGAAACGCAATCATCCAGGCACCCTTCATCAGCTTCCAGTCCATTCCTTACAATTCTGTGGATCACCTCCCTCAAGCCCTTGTCTTGCATCTGCTCTCCAAGTTTTCCAAACTAGCCCAAGGAGCCATCGGTGGAAAGCCTAGTGGACTTGCTGTTTCA